TCTAACGTTACTTGCAAACGCGTGATTAGTAGACACGTAAAAAAATGGTATACTGCCAACAACGGCGAACCGACGTCCTCCAGAATAGATCACAAACTCCCATGATGCAATATTATTCAATGGCTTACTGTGGTACCTACAAGATCGGACATCCACATTTGATCACATGAACGTTCAGATCGGGTTCTATCAAAGTCCGCTTCCCTAGTGCTGACTAAAAGAAACATCTTGCCACTCTATATTTAACAATTATCTATCGCCAAAAACAACATTGCCTATCTATCGCCGTAAGACAAACACAAAACGCCACCATCACGACATACAACATAAACATGATTTAATGTTTGACATTCGTGACAGACACCAAGAAACAGGTTTAGCTACAATGTCCTAAAAATGTGTGTTCAGGAATTTTTTATTTACTTTGGTTGTCCTATTTTACAGCAATTCATGTTTATTTGAAGTAAAACAATCTGTTTGCGAAAACGAGGCACCGCACTGAACTTTCAGCTCATAAATATTCTTGCATAAATTTGCACTTAGCATAGAGTACCCCGGAGCTTGGCAGAGGACTAAGTAGCTCCTTGAAGCTCTGAGGGCGTAAAACAGATGGTTTGATTTTGATCTCCTTCCTCAGACAGCTTATATACACTATATGTCCTGATTGTTAAAAGCTGTTAACAGTAGTAGAGTTGCCATTTCAAACATTTTGTGTCACAATTGATTATATCAAAGATTTGACTGTGTCGGATAATGCTGTTCCATTACGTCAGTAAAGCTGCATTCTTGTTCAAAAGTTGTGCAAGATGTACACTATAAACAACTCACATGTTAACTTAAATTTGTACAAAGCGTCCACACATTTCTAATAATAATAATAATAATAATGAATTTATTGCATCCTTGGAAATAATTTCCATTGGTTGAACAGCAATAAAATGTTAGTAATAAAGTACAATACATATAAAACTAAAGTAAAATGTCAGTTATTATTATTTCCGATTTCAAATATTTTGTATAAGTATTCACCAACTTAACTCATTAGTACGTCTTATCTTGAACTCATAATATATTTAAATATCTGGTTATCACTTTTCAATTCTTCTGGAATACTGATATTATTAAATAGTTTTTGTCTTTCTGTTTGGTACCTAAGACATTCCATGAAGAAATGTTCTTCATTTTCAATTTTGATCAGGGAACATTGCTTACAGATTCTGTCTTCTAAAGGTATTTTGGGTTGGGTATGTCTACCCTTCTCAATTTCTAATACATGACTGCTTATTCTGAAACGAGTCAATAAGATTTTATGTTTCAGATTACATAAAAGCAAATATGGTTCAAAAGTGTACGAGTCTTTAAACTTTATATACGTTCTCAGTTTTCTATTATCATTTGTTACACTCAACTTCCAGAACTCTACTTACCTTTGTTGGATGTTTTTTCGTATGTTTTTTATTTCTAAGAATTTTCAGTACTTTATATTGGAAGTTTATCTAGAGCAATTTTGGTATTATATCAGATGAATATTTGGAATATAATCTGAGTATACAAGTATCTGAGTACGAACAAGTCTAGGATGACAAAAATGCAGATAATTATGAGAGTAATACACCATGTGACACTGAATCATGCAAATTGTCTATTAATTCTCTAATCAACCACATATGTCTAGTCAAAAGTTAATTAGTTTGATATATTTAATTAATACATGTATCAGTAGTTACGGAGGTGTAGGACAGTTAGGAAAACAGTTTCATTGAAAGGACTACCACATGTTTGCATTCATGGTTATAAGTTTTAAACAGTTATAAAGTTAATATTTAGTATCAACAAAGATTTATAAAATTAGGGAATGCAAGGGTGTACTAGTCTGAAGTTGTAAAATTTAATTTCTAATAATTCTAGTGTAAATTATTTTGTCTGTGAAATAATTCTTTTGTGCTCATCTCATACCATTTTTGGTAGTGTCCATGCTTATTTGCAAAGTCTGCAATACATGCGTTTTGCATTTTGAATGCAGCTTATTTCTGATTACGAAATTAACCCACTGAAATCTCTGGCGCTATTGGTCAGAACTACATTTGAATAATGCACACAAATTAAGCTTACAAAAGTGTGAAATTGTGTGAGTTCTCTTCCCATGAGATCTTCCTTACACATATCACCAAATACATGGTTATAAAAGTTTCATAAGATAAGATAAGATAAATTTTATTTGGTACGGGAACATATAAAATGCCATGACCAAGAACAAGAGAGAAAAATTACATAACTACTAAACTAAAATAAACTAGACTAAAAAAGCTCTAAAATACTAAAAACAAATTTGGCTAAGCCTGAATAGATAAATTTATCGGTACTTGAAAACATTTCTGCAAATAAATTGTCATCCTCTATGATTTCAAGATTTGGTGCATACATAAATAAAGTTGTAAAAAAATCATTTCTAAAACAACTAATTTGAAAAAGATATAATGTAACTCATCCCCAATTTCATTATTTGAACACTTTGTACAAAATCTGTTCTCTTTAGGAATACCTTTGTGCCTTCCTGTCTCTATAGGTAATTTGTGTGCAGACAGGCGAAACTTAGTCATTGCCACTCTGTGTTTTGCAGATTTAATGTCACATAAATATTTCTCCATTGCATAGTCATTTTTAAATAAACTATATGTTTTTAATTTATTATGTGCTATTTTATTGATTTCTTAATACCATTTGTCATAATAAATTTGCTTTAATTTTGTGTTGAACTGATTACCAAAACTTGGATTATTGATGTCAGCTGGTTTTAAATTACTAATATCTAACAATTTTTTAACAAATCAAAACCACTGACCAGTCTCTATTGAATTGCTTGTATTCCAAGCCCCAATGAGAATAGTGTTTTTAACATCTTCACATCTAAATCTTTGATAGTATTTCATCATACTAGTACAAATATCAATGATAAGTGGGTATCTACCGAATTCACCCCTGCATGCCAAATTAGTTGCCTTTCTGTGAACTCCCAGAATCTGTTTACAGAACTTAACGTGCATTTGTTCAAAAGCTAATTTATCTGAAAACAAGGTATTAATGAATTTGTCATTTGCACTATTAATGTTGTATTTACTGATATCAAAGTTAAATGCTCCCCAGACATATTCTTCTCTTAGTAAATCCTTACCCCAGTATATAAATTCTATTATTATACATCTGTAACGCCATAAGTGACAGCGTGCTGTAATTTTGCAGTATTTTCATCCTATCATATAAGGAAATGTGAATTCCAAATATGGAATGATTATGTGCGTAAGCGTCCTCTAACAATAAAAACAAACATGGCTGCCACCAGGGTTTGACCGAACTCCACACAATGAAGTTCGCTGATTTCGTTCTAAACTTTTTGGATAATCGGCATTTCCATGATGTATCCTTGAAAGGAAAAGAAGTATAATAATAAGGTTATTATGAGGATACCTCAAAGTATGCACTCAGACAGTACGCCATCACATCGACCTTTGCTGTACGTCGGTCGATACTCCCGCTGTACTGTCTTCGTGCATACTTTGAGGTATCCTTGTAATAACCTCGCAGTATACGTATCGATAATGGTCATTATGGGGAAATATTTTTAAAAACTAACTTTTTTGTTTTTCAGGTAAATTTGAATGTACAAGATGGTCAGAGTTTGGGATTAATGATACGTGGTGGCACAGAGTTTGGTTTAGGAATCTATATCACCGGTGTTGATGCGTTTTCTGTCGCTGACAACAAGGGTCTCAAGGTAATTTGGGTGCAACATATTGCCTGTCTTTTTTCTAGAATCTTTTACCATACTATCTGCCCCAAAATTTTCTACACATTTTTCTTGTATTCAATATTCTGGAAAGGAATCCTAATTTTGGAGCCAACAGACAAAATTTGAATCAATTATCAGTTTCTACTCAAAAAATATGCCTGTTTTTGTTCCAATCCCAAAAAATGGAGACTACAAACTATTTTGTAAATTTGTGATGAAAAGAAAGAACAGGTGGTGAAAAGATTAATCAATTTTCGAAAACAAATTTTAAAAAATGTAATTTTTATTTTATGAAAAGGTAATGAAAGTTACCCTTGATCATTGAAAAGTATTTTTTTTTCCATTTAGACTAAATAAAAAAATATATTTGTGTCTCTTCATCAGGTGTGTCAGTTAAAAATGTATTTGTCACACAACAGCTTGTTTTGGAATTTTTGCCAGAATTTTAGAAAAAAACAATAGGAAAAAAATCTACTTTCAAGTTGAAGAAAAACAAATCTAGATGAAACTATTTCATATTATACTCAAGAGTCAAGGAAAAAGTGCTTACCATATATCCTGTGAAATTGCATAAATATTAACTTTTCACAGGTTGGGGATCAAATTTTGGATGTTAATGGGATAAGTTTTCTTGACATTGAGCACCAAGAAGCTGTGAACATATTGAAGTCTTCCAAACTAATGGTTATGACAGTTAAGGATGTGGGCAAGTTACCTTATGCACGAACTACCTATGACCAAACGCAGTGGATTATGGGAGATCAGCTGTCTCAGATGGGTGAAGGAATGGGGTCAAGGTCAAATTCTGTCATGAGCACCAACAAATTGTCCAATGGTGACTGTGTATTAGAAAGACAATCGGTAAGTCTCTAAAAAATAATGAAATGTTGCTATTTTCAAATTTTCTATCATGCCTAGTCGCCATGATGATTTGATGACACTGCCTAGTTGCCATAATGATTTGCTGACACAGTGCCTAGTCGCCATAATGATTTGCTGACACAGTGCCTAGTCGCCATGATGATTTGATGACACTACCTAGTTGCCATGGTGATTTGCTGACACAGTGCCTAGTCGCCATGATGATTTGATGACACTACCTAGTTGCCATAATGATTTGATGACACAGTGCCTAGTCGCCATGATGATTTGCTGACACTGCCTAGTTGCCATGGTGATTTTCTGACACAGTGCCTAGTCGCCATAATGATTTGCTGACACTGCCTAGTTGCCATAATGATTTGCTGACACAGTGCCTAGTTGCCATAATGATTTGCTGACACTGCCTAGTTGCCATGGTGATTTACTGACACAGTGCCTAGTCGCCATGATGATTTAATGACACTGCCTAGTTGCCATAATGATTTGCTGACACAGTGCCTAGTTGCCATGGTGATTTACTGACACAGTGCCTAGTCGCCATAATGATTTGCTGACACTGCCTAGTTGCCATGGTGATTTACTGACACAGTGCCTAGTCGCCATGATGATTTGATGACACTGCCTAGTTGCCATGGTGATTTGCTGAATATTACCTAGGCATCACAGTGATTTGCTGACACTGCTAGTTGCCATGGTAATTTGCTGAATATTACCTAGGCATCACAGCGATTTGCTGACACTGCCTATTCACAGTGATTTGCTGACACTGCTAGTTGCCATGATGATTTGCTGAATATTACCTAGGCATCACAGTGATTTCCTGACACTGCTAGTTGCCATGGTGATTTGCTGAATATTACCTAGGCATCACAGCGATTTGCTGACACTGCCTAGTCACAGTGATTTGCTGACACTGCTAGTTGCCATGATGATTTGCTGAATATTACCTAGGCATCACAGTGATTTCCTGACACTGCTAGTTGCCATGGTGATTTGCTGAATAATACCTAGACACCACAGTGGTTTGCTGACACTGCTAGTTGCCATGGTGATTTGCTGAATAATACCTAGGCACCACAGTGGTTTGCTGACACTGCTAGTTGCCATGGTGATTTGCTGACACTGCTAGTTGCTATACACTTATTTCTCACCTATTTTCCTGATTGATGATAATTAAGTCATAACAATATAATGAGATCTTAAAATATAAAAATTGTCTTTACATGGCAGTACCACATACAGATTGTTTGTATGAATCAGTGTCAAACTCAGATGTTTCTCCTTTACATTGGCAGTCTAAATTTACTAAAGGATTAGCGGGATCACAGCTGATGTGGAGTAGTAATTTATCAACACATTCATGGAGTATGATAGAAGAACAAGCCAGGTACCTACTGAATGAAAATGAGCGTTGTACAATGAAGTACTATCTAGATGAATACCAGCGTACTCATATCAGTGTCGATGACCTCGTTATGGCTCTTTTGGAGCTTCTCAATACACATTCCAAGGTTAGTTTTTATTTCACAAAAGCAATTTGCTTCATTTTGTGAGTCTGGAGGAGGGGGGGGGGGTCTCAGTCTATACTTAGTCTTCCTTTTTACCCTCCTTTATATTAAGTGGTGTATTATTTTATTTAGGGATGCAATAGTGTATATTTCCAAATTATTTTTTCTCAAAAAATTAGCAAGATATTTTGGCCCAAATTTGTTTTTCTCAACAAATTAGTATGTAAATTACTTACAAGTGTGCCCTCCAACAAGACTGATTTTGTTGGCATCCTAAGTCAAAATGGAATCCCAGTAATTAAAATGAGCCAGCTTTTGACTGGCGGAGAGGTCTGTCTTCAAGAAAAAAAATAATATTGTAGATGACCATATAAATATTTTGTTTATAAAATGTTAAATTTTGTTTACCAAATTAGGCCACACTGATTTAGTTTTATGGATGACATCCTCTGGAGACCCCAAAACTAATGCGAGAGGGCGAAAAAAAAAATCCTGCCAAAAAAAAAATGCTGCTTACGGAGCTGGTATTAGAAATTGAACCACAGAACACAGTGTTTCAAAAAAAACAAAACAAGAAGTCTTTATTTGTAGAAAGCACATGTTGATGTACTGTATTACTGTCATAGGTATAATCATTTCAGACAAGCTCTAGTACATGTAGTCATGTTGCAGAAGAAAGGCGGGACAGCCACTCTGGATAGTATGTCCTTAAAGTTGTCTGGGCGAAACTTGCTTGCTGCTACCAATCTCTCGTATAGTCGTGTAAACTCCACATCTCCCTGGCCGAGGTCAATTGCGTACCAGTCTACAACAATCCCTCCGTTTTTCCTCTGAACTTTTATGCTCACGTTTTTTGGTGCCGTTGTCGCCATGTTGGAATTCCCGGCAACTCAATACGCATGTGCAGAAGATCATTTACGACAAAATTGCACGTTTTGAGGTAGCCCAAAACCCGGTTTTACAACAAGCCGGCACTTTGAGACAATATGAGTCGGCAAGTTCCGGACAGAAAACCGATCTGTGAAGACTTGTCACCGGAGATTTTTTTTTTTTTTAGAACAGGCAAAAAAATAATGCGCACACGGATGTCATTCATAAAATTAAGTCGGTGTGGCCTTACATAACTATGTAAAGATGTTTTTTATGATCACTATATCAATGCATGATTGTATCAGTGAATTATCGCAACTAGTTACATCACATCAAATCTTTGTGCGTCATCGTCCTGTCATATCGGCTTAGAGGGCGCACTGCCTTGTACCATTAAGTGATAAGTTTACTGAGCATTTTTGTATTGGGAAATTTTTATTTGTTAATAAAGGAACATTTTTATTTTTTTTATTACAGTTTTCATTGTTATCTGAAGTGCGGACATTTGTCGTACCACGAGATATTGATAGATTTGATACATTAGTACTAAAACGTGAGGTGGAAGCAATGAAGGTATGTTAATTACAAAAATATATATGTTTTGCATATATCAATTTACATAATTTAAAGGTAGCCATGTTGTGAAATAAGTGTGTGTCAATTTGTAGTAACATGTTGGAAAAATATCTTTCAAGTATCCAAGTTTTACCATAACAATTCAAAGGGTAGTTGACTTTTGTAAGTAATTACAAAAAAGAGATATCTTTTTATTTTTAGGCTCGTCAACATCGAGATGGTTACACTATGGAGCGGGCTTCGATGAACTCATTTGGCGAGTCCATATCATCAGCAAGTCACTATTCATCTGCCTCCATTGATTCTAGACCAATCACACCACCCAGGGTACCTCAAGAACTACCACCAAATATCAAGGTAACACTAATCATTGATTAAACCTCCCAACATGCCTACATACAAGTATGTCAGTTGGACTCATGGTAGTTCACTACTATTGAAAAAAATATACTCCTTGAATGAAACAAAAAGGGTTGGTTTACTCTAATGTTCAAAATTCTTAAATAAAAATATATGGTAACAAAACTAAGTTTTCCACAAAACAACCTTGACCCCAAGAACCCCAACCCCCCCTAGATTACCCCCCTAACTTACTAATGAAAGACACATTTAGGCAGATTACTCTATACACGATGATTTTAAATGAAAACTTAGCCAGCTGAAAGTTAAGGTACACAGGGCAAACTGTACTGTACCTCTGCCTTATGCAAACTTTATTATGCAGAATTTGATGACATTCATCATTCTTTTGTGTGTATGTAGAGAAGTTAATATGCAATGCATTATGGTCATAATCATTTACATTTAATGTTACACACCACCATTATAAAGTATACCCTCAATTTTAAGTATGATTTTACTAAAAGGCAATCTACTTTGACTGTATGTTATGTGTATCTATTTTCAGTTTTATCCAGTCTTTGCTGAATGACTCATTCACTGTATTTGTAGTCCCATTGTTCTTTCAAGTTTAATGGTGGTGTGATACCTATATATACATATTCAGTTTTCATTGCATGCTCCTCAATAGATTGGCTTAAATTCCCATTTCCTTCCTATTCTAGGTGAGCTATGATTCTAGTTATCATGATTTTTATAACAACTGTATAAATGCTGATAGAATCAATGACGATACTGATGGTCTCCCAGATTTTGAATTGCCAGTAAGTACCCATGAATGAAGTGTGCAAATGGGGATTCCAAATTGAGAGACATATCAGCAGAAACCAAAGTCAAATAATTCAATAATTTGATCTTTCTTAATTAGTTAACTTTAAAACTGCTATACCCACTTTAGTATAATTTGCATAGTTTCCCATCATGCTTTGCACTAACATGACTACTGTAAAATGCTCTATTTTCGCTGAAAAGACTTTTTGGGTGTCTTGTATGTGATTTATTTTCACTGATTTTTGACAAGGTGAATGTAAAAGATAGGAAAAAAGGTATATTCACTGGATTATATTTTCACTGAATCATTCCTTCAGCGAAAATAAAGTATTTTACAGTATCAAATTTGCTCATCACTCACTGTGAGGGCGCTGTTTTCATAAAACTTGATTATATATGTATACATCTAAGTAGTGTATACTGGATAGCTGGACCAATACACTGTGCATGAGATATTTGGTGCACAGCTCAGACTTCAAATCTTCCGGCCATCCACTTTTATTATTACTAAGAATAACATTTTTACAATTTCTAATTATAGGATTTCAATGATTCTCAAACAACATTTAAACCCAAGCCAATCGTACCAAACAAGCCAAAGTCTTTATCAACCAATAAACAGACTGTGACTGCTGATATCCATGTTAGTAATCACGTAGACAACTTTCCTGATGCAATGTATGACGAAACAAAAAGTCCAAGTGAAGATAGCGGTGTGGACGTTCATGTGGAGTCACAAACTAAAGACAGGTAGGTCATGTGACACCATTACACAGATAAGATAACAATTTTTATACCTTATTAGGAGAAATTATTTCCATATAAGGAATTGGAATTTCTGAGTTTCCATTTCTGAATTGGAATTTTTGTTGCTTGATGCATGCATAAACAAAAATTAAAAATTAATTGTAAAACTCAGCATTGTGTTAGCATAGTTACATACATTGTGACATGTCATATTTTTGGGAGTGAACATCTTTCACCATCTTCAGTGAAAACAAAGACCACAAATTCTCAGAAACTACTTTAGGATAGTTGTTAGGATAGACTCTCTTGAACAATGTAACAAGATTACCCCTATATGTACAGCATATATAAATCTGGTTGCTCAGGATTACTTCAGAGTTTAGTTTGTGCTGTTTTCTTGAATTTAGCTATTTTCACCGGCTCTTCAACCAGCATTCCGTAGCACCTAGTGCAGCTGGCATAGAAATACATGGTTTAGTGGTGCCGCTCTTAGCAACATAGAACATTCTGTTACGTAACTCCACTTCCGGGAATAGATAGTTTGCTTGTAATAATGCATTGTATTACGTATTGCCGTTCACTCTATTGCACGTCAGATATGCAAATGAGCAAAAAAACAACATATTACATAATTTTTGTGCCACCATGTGTGGATTTAAAAAAACCTTGTAATGCATGTGATAAAACAATGTGAATGCAACAAATTAGTTTTAGAATTGGAACTCCATACAAAAACACTATGTCTGATAGGCCGGAATTTTCACTGGCGATATGCAAATTAGTATGTTATTTAAGGGCTGATAACATGAGTCACCAAAACACTCAGGATGTTGGGTCTGAATGTATTTGAAAGACACATTTATTTTTTGATATCAATGTTTGGAGAAGCCCCATGTTACAATTAGTGTGTTGTTTTTGTCCAATTAATCTAGAAATGACTGCTTAGCAGCCATTTTGTAGCAGCCATTTATGGAAACCATTTTGTGGCAGATGCTTTGCGTCAGTCATTTTGTGGAAGTCGTTATGTGGCAGTCGTTTTGTGGCAACCGGTTTGTAGCTGCCATTTTGAGGAAGCTGTTTTGAGGTAGCCATTTAAAGGCAGCCATATAAGATAGCTGTTTTGTTGCAGCCATTTTGAGGTTCCATTTTTGGCAGCAATTTCATGGCACATCATAGTCATTTTTTGGTAGAAATTGTGTTGTATTTACATTATCATATTTTTTTGTGGCTTTATCTGGCTGCCATTCCAGCATCATCAGCATGTTAAAATTAGACCACTACACCATCTAATCATGCTTGTATTTTTTTATTCCGTACTCTTCCCTTCCTTTCTTTTGACCATGGTGATGGCATATGTCCCTCCCCTACACTTCCATGTCATATCAACAACACTGCAGCAAGCCCAAGAAGAGGTAACATTGTGTAATAATATATATGGCACTCTGTGTTCAAAGTTTGTAGCATGTCATTTGTGTGAAGAAAAAGTGACGTTATATTACACATATTCGTTTGCACTTAGAGTATGTTGTTGCCATTCTTATTTTCTTTTACAATTTTGTTCAAAACTGATTTTAAATTTTAAATGCTGTTTCATTTTCTGATTGTTTGTAAATTTCAATAAGCTTATTATGCCTACTTACATTGGAATACACATACCATATTTTCTTTATTAGCAAAGGTGTTTACATAAAATCACAAAGTGTCTATCACCAAACTAAATTACATTTTAATTTGCTCTATTAGAATAACATTCATTATATACTGGATATAATGAATGTGATTCTAATAGAGCAAATATGGTACCTGTAAACATCTGCAGTTTTATCAATGAACTTAATCGGATAGTTGTAAGTACATTTGACTTTCATTTAATAGAGGGTCACTTTTTTATGAGTTCAAATGACATGGATATGAATAATTTTATATTGTCGTAAAACATGCAGCATCTAAACTAAATTTATGCATGTTTGTTTACTTCAAGAATGCATGTTTTTTTTTGTTTTTTTTTGTGCATGTATTTTTAGTATACATCATTTATTTATTTATTAACCTGTAGCTGCCTGTGGTGGAATGAGAACAAAATAAATTACAATTCATTAAAATTAAAAAAAGATAAAATATTTTTATTAATATCTCACAAAAGTGACTTTCGAAGCAGTTTATTTCATTGAAAAATTTTCTATCAAATAAAAAAATAATATATTTTTCACCATGGAAACTGTTGCTGCATGTTTAAAAGATTCTGTATATGAGTCAGTAGATTCCTTATATGGATCAGTAGATTTCTTATATGGATCAGTAGATTTCTTATATGGATCAGTAGATTCCTTATATGGATCAGTGGATTCCTTATATGGATCAGTAGATTCCTTATATGAATCAGTGGATTCCTTATATGGATCAGTAGATTCCTTATATAGATCAGTGGATTCCTTATATGGATCAGTAGATTCCTTATAT